AAGGTGAGTGGGCCTAAAAATAAAGTTTTTAATAAAAACTTTTTGAAAATGTTATAACCTCTTGCTGTAAAACCCGTATAATTTCTCAGAAAATAATAATACATACGTATATACAAATTATGCTCAAGAGTAGTGAAAACCGAGTATATGCCATGTCAAGTATCTCAGAAGTAAAATAACTAAGCCAGGTGAAATAAATCAATGTAAAATGATATGTCAGCCGGAGTCACCTAACGTGACTGTACGGCTGAACCTATAGCTTATTAAGTTTGCCTACACACGAGTCGGAATCACCTATTGTGGTATGTACGACAATGCTGGGTGTAAATAAGTACGCTCAAGTGCTATGATCACGTGGAGACTGTACGAATAATCGTGGGTCACCTACGAGTCGGATTCACCTAATGTGGTATGTACGACAGGGTTGTGCACCAAACTTGGATCCAAGGAGAGCGTGCGGTGCGGGAGGTGAACTTCACATGAAGGACTGTGCCCTAGCCACGGACAGGAGCACTAACACCGGGGTGCAAGATAATAAGCTCTAAATGCATCTAAACATAACCATGCACACTGCAATCATTATCATCAATATGTACTCACCTGAAGCTTACCTGGGTGTCCGCAGTAGCATGCAATAATATGCATATCTATACTAATGCATATACTAAAATGTAATGCAATTGACATGTCATTTAAAAACGTAAATCCATTTAAAATAATTTCTGAGAAAATAGAAAACATATATACGTATATATAGAAAACCAAAAGCCCACTCACATGAAGTTCACGCTACAACTCCCTAGCACAAACATCAAGGCATCACGAATGATCAGCACCTAGAACAATTATCAAATCATGTCTTAGAATTCTTATCAATAGAATATATAACTTACATATCTTCTTTGGAAAGATCCGTATGTTGGATTCCTGATCCGTAAGTTTCTAATATCCTCAAATATTACGTATTATAACGTAGCAAAGTTTGGTGACGATCCAACGGTCGGATCATCAATTGCTATAAATATCAAGTGGTAGACCTTAATGGAACTACGTTTAAACAACGGAAAATTTTCAATCGAACTTCACCAATGAAATTAGGGAATCAAATTTAGCCTAGGAAGATCAGGGGATGCCTCGGGCCACGCACCGCCGCAAGTGGCAGTTGGTTAGCCCGACTCGCCAGAAAATTAAACTACTTCTAAAAAATCTCAAACTTCACAGAAATGAAGATCTTAGTAAATAGAGCAACTTTCATACATGTGACTAAGGCCAATTTGGCCGGGAAAAACTTCGAATTGCCACGAACCCGCCGAAAACCCTATAAAGGGTGCTATCCAATTCGTCCTCAAATCCAATCTAACGCCCCCAAACTTGTTTGAGCTTTGTTCCTGTGTTTAAGGGAAGGCTAATGATGGTGGTGATCGAAGGAATCACCTTCGGAAATGGCAGATCATCGCCTTAGACCGCCAGACCTACCCATTTGGTTTCTCACAAAATCGAGTACAATTTCTTCCATCTTTGGGGTGGAATTGGTAGAGGGAGGGTCAATGAGTGATGTGGTAGTGATGGATTGCTGCGATTTGCCGGAAAGACGACGGAAACCCGTCAGAATTAGCTCCCCGGGTGGACTGGGTGTAACTGGGTTAGGTGATCCGGTGCATCCCCTTTTTCTCCTTTCGCCTTCTTTCGCTCATCTCCAATTGGTCCTCTATTTTCTCTTTTCTTTCTGATTGGTCGGCCTGCCGCTCCTTTCCCTCCTTTATAATTCATCACCACCGTCCATCTTTCTTTCCTTTAATCTAGGGCACACACGTGGCTCACCAGATTTTACTCAAAAAATCTGCAGCCTTCCACATAATATTCAAATTACTATTTTGTCCCTATTTTTACTCGCTCATAACTTCTTCGTTATAACTCCAAATTGCGTTCCGTTTGCGCCCACACGTCTGTAGCGATGAGTACTACGGGAATACACCAAGAAAAGGAACCTTACGTGACATGACATGGCAGTCAACAAAAGTCAACACTTTATTTCGAAGGCATTTTCGTAAATTCACCTTTTTAAAATTATAAAAATCATAATAATTGGGGACGGGTCATTACATTTAAAGTCAATAATATGGATGAGAGATAAAACATTGTACCAGGTAAGAAATTTTTATCAACAAATATGATCTCATCGTCATCTAGAGCCCACAAGTTCAGTTATAAATAATAGTACATTTATTACCATTTGACTCATTCCTCCATTATCTCGAACTCTTGGGTTAAAATCTAAAATTTTTAACTTAAAAATATTTAGATTCTAATAAATATGTAGACTATTTGATAAGTTTATTTTCTTATAGTAACTCCTTTTAAAAAAAAAAAAAAAAAATTATGTAGACTATCCTGATTTATTTTATCAATATTTTAACCTAAAAATATTTAGATTTCGATAAATATTGAAAAATCACTAAACCAACACCATGAAACTCATGGAATGCTATGAAAGAATATGAAACACATAAAAGAATATTTCTTAATTACTTTAGTCGTTCGATTTAAATTTGGACTATTAGATCTTTTTTTTACCGTTGGATTTGAACATATTAGATCTTAGCCATTGGAGTCAATGAATTTATAAATATAAAACTGAAAGAAAACAATACACATATATGGTGGGCTAGCCCCACTAACCCAGGAAAAATGTTGGCCTAAATTTGCCTCAGAAATGAGTTTTGAGTTAAAACTCATATTTGTTGATATGAGCATAGTTATGCAACTTTGTTATCTTATTTCTTTGTATTTACTTAGTTAATTTTCATTTATTGTAGTAATTTAAGTTATTTTCGTATTATTATAGGTCCAGTTGGTAAAGATGACGATAAATAGCCATATAGAGCGATTTGGAGCAGTTTTGGACTTGGATTGGATAGCATGCATGGATAGCATATGGGCTGGACCTTTTTGGTGTTTAAATGGTGTTAAACATGTGCTAAATCTGGAGAAATTAAAGTTGAGGCTTGTAAGGTAAGGAATTACACAAGAAAGAGGAATCCTAGTTGGAGAGGAACATTATCTTATCCTATCTTATCTTATCTTATCATATCTTATCCAACATTATCTTATCTTATCTCCAGTTGCAAAAAGCAATCCTAATTACATTCCAACACTCTCTACCTGATTCTTAGAGTTCTAAAATAATTTAAAACGTCAAAACCCTTTCCTCCTTGGATTCAAAGTTCTAAAATAATTTATAACACCAAAATCCTTTCCTCCTTGGATTCAGCCGTTTCCCCCTATATATATGAAATTCCTGCAACGATTTTGGGTGTGCCGCACCTACCATTCATCCATTGAAGTTGCTGGAATTTTCAAAGTTCTTTCTATCTTTGTTTTAAGTTTCAATGTTTATTTAGATTGCTTTTCAGTTATGATGAACATGTGTAACTAAGTTTCTTTTTAGCTAGAGGTGAATTCGAAGCCATGATCATATGTTTTATATAAATTGATTACATCCAGTTATTGTTTCATAAAACATGAATGTGATTTACTTTTCTGCTTTATGGAGAACTTGCTCTTGTATGTTTATTAATGATGCATGCTTAGTTTGCATGCAGGGATTTGATGCTAGAATATAAGGGAATTTCACCTGATCGTTATGAACTTGTTTTGTTGTTAGTTTAACTTAATTTTCAGTTTTATAAGTTTAATTTGTGTTGATTAGCATCCCTTCTAATCCCCGAAATAGAACAATCACACTTACTCATACTACGATTGCATAATTTACAGGGTTTAATTTGTGTGTTAGTTTCTACCACATCATTTGTCCAAAGGGTTGGAGCAAGTTGAGATAAGTTTAGAACATAAAATTGAAGTTTTCCTCCAAAGGTTGAAGTAGGATTAAGGGTTCTGTCTCTGTGAAGAGTGCGGGTTTTGATTTGAATTATGAGAGGCCTTCCTCTAGTTCCTCTGCAGCTTTTTCTACACTTTGGAAAGCTCTATGGAAGGCTAAGGTTCCAAATCCAATTAAAATTTACTTATGGAAATTGTGCAATGACATTCTCCCTACTAGGGAGATCAAATTTGGTAACTAAACTAGATATGTCTATTTTGCAGTTTCATTTTGGAGTCGGCATTGCCGCTGCATGTGGCCAAAAGGTTGTCCATTCGCCAAGGCAGTTTTGTTCTCCTCCTCACTTCTAAGCAAGGTTATACCACATTGCTTGTACTTGGCGGCTATCAGGTTTGTGTATTTTATTTGGCGTGCTCGTAAAAGATCCGGCGGTTGTGGGCCGTCTAGCTGGTTCGCATTTGTTAAGACTATTTGAATGCTCAGCCCGACTCGATTGCCAAACCAATCTCTTCTCCTTCTCGGTGGCTCCCTCCTTCGAAGTCCTAACCAAGGGTTACACGTTCGTGTTGACCGAGATTTTCACGCTGGTACTAGTCAATGGGAGCTGGTGTCATATTCCGTGACAAAGCCGGTAGCTACAATTGTGGTTTCAGATCCTGCCTATCTAAAAAATAAACGTTCGAATTGTAAAAATACATTAGTTAGTTAGCCAATTGACCACTGTGAAGCTATATCTATATATGTATATAGATATAGACTTATGATGGCTGGTACTAGTCAAGGGGAGCTGGTGTCATATTCCGTGACAAAGCCGGTAGCTACACTCGAGGTTTCAGATCCTGCCTATCTAAAAAATAAACGTTCGAATTGTAAAAATACATTAGTTAGTTAGTCAATTGACCACTGTGAAGCTATATCTATATATGTTTATAGATATAGACTTATGATGTGTGTGTGGGTGTGTGGGTGTATTATATAAAAGGACATTGATGTAAATAAAAAGGGATCAATATTCTCTTCCATGACCTCATTTGAATTGGAATGAATAATCCAGTGTTTTCACCAACGGCGTTGGTCCATTTTTTGGCATCAAAACCCTCAATGGCGATGAAAGCCCGCCAACGGAAAATTATTTCATTTACATAGACATTTGGGGCATAGGTAGGGCGGTAGGATAGTAGTAATTTGAAACTCGGAAACGAAAATTGTTTCGACCCAAACATGAGAACAATAACTAAAACCAAAACTAGGATCGCATACCTAACTCTGCCTAACTATTTGAATAAGACTTCCCAAAAGCATTTACAAGACAATACTTTGAAATATGATCAGGGTTATTTACTCGTTGCAACACAAACTCTGGATTAATTTTTGTAGCGTGCAGCAGATCGACCATCTACCAGTAAAAGACCTACTTAAACACCGCACACGACGGATTGCATCATACCTAGCAGCACTATTTAGTCATCATCTTCACTCTCTCTTTTCCATTCTTCGTCTTCAAATAAGTCTTCAGGTGGGTCATAGACGATCATATCAGGAAATAGCTCCAAGAAGTCATCTTTCACCTTCTCCCTCAATTCCGGGTACGGGAGGAGGCCCTTCAATATTACTCTAAACGGCAGTGAGATTGGGGGATCAGGTGATTGTCTCATTTCACCATATATCTCCATTGCCTCCGAGGGCAAACCACCATCTAGGAAAGCCCTGATGATGTCCCCGAAAGTATGCTGATCAAATAGAACTTCCTCTCTCTTCAGATCTCCCCAAACCTTCTTTGCTTCATCCACCTTTTTGTTTCTTGCAAGCATCATAAGCATGTCCCTGTAAAAGAACATGTCCGGTCTATACCAAATCTCTTTACGAACCACATCATATATCTGGACAAATAAAAACATTATGTATTAGTAAAAGAAAACATTGCAGGATAGCCAATCAACATGCATATTTCCTTCCTTCCTCACCCACCCCAGCCAAAAAGAGTAAAATGCTCCTTTCCTTTCAGAAGAAATATGCATGTGCACTTGTTGATGCAGAATATAAGAAACACAACTAAACGGAAAATAAAGGACCAAATAACTCTAAACAGGTCCTATGGTTGATCGACCCCAAAGTGTTCCCGGATTGCATGCATACATCCGTAATAACTTAGTGCAACACAGCAAATTTCATTGAGAGGAATCAGCAAAGATCCACAAAATTTTCCAGTATCTTGGAAGTCGCTATCAAAGGTTTGTTTTTGTATGGCAACTTTACTTTTTCTCCAACCCCTTTGTAGCCTGAACTTACATACGCAAATTTACAATCCCTGCTCATAGTTGCAAGGTCCTTTCGAGCTCACCTTATTTTCATTTTATTTTGTCCTACCTTTTACGTGGGCAAATCTAGATATGCATGCTTGTGAGAAGCTGTTAATTTATTTTTGGATGACTAAGAACAAAGCCTAGTACAAGCAGCCAAAGTTGCACGACAAAGTAGCAGGTTTCCGTGCATATGAACATATTAGAAACTTAAAATGCAAGACAATACACAGTACAATAGAAACTGAGAAACCCCACACCTCGTGAAAACTCTTAATTTTCTGCAAGCAATAAAAAAAGGGGGAGAGCAGGGAGCTTCTTGCACTGGAGCTCTTACTGTGACTTCCTTTTTGAGAAGGTAGATAAAGGATTTAATTTTCCTTTGCTGCACCCTTACAAGGGTGTGAGGGCTTAGAACCATCACCCTCTTGTTCTCCAAGAAATCGTGCGGCTCTACTGATTTAGAAAAGGTGGGGCCCTGATATAAGACCCTAGCCACACTTTCGTTTTCCTTATTCCTCCTATTCTATTGAGTCCAAGGAAGAAACAAGAAAAGTAAAAATATGGGAGATCACCCCCCCCCCCCCCCCCCCCAAAAAAACCAAAATTTATAGGCACTAATGAGTCCAACTAATGTGCATCTAATAGGCCCTAAAGGAGGATCCGATATCATTTAGCCTTTCCAGTATCATCTCATGGTCTAGCTAAGATTTGATTAGTTACAGTCATACCCTACCACAATGTTGTAATTGACCAGAATAAATAATTAAATATAAGTGATTACACTTAGAAGATAGTGCAAACTTGTAAATTTCTAATTAACCAAAAAAAGTGTTCTCGACAAGGTATATTCCATTCCAACTTTTATTCAACTGAACCAAACACTACTTTAGATAGTAGCAGATTAGCAATACTGCAGATGAATCACAGTGAAAGAAATCGCAAAATCCTGCTCCAGAAGATGGAAAACGAAGAATTTGTACACGTGTAGCGGTGCACATTAGCCAGGCTATCCTATGCCAAAAGAGAATTCAAACCTCCAAGATGGTTAGGTAACTTTGAATTGTTTCTCAATATGCATTGGCCTCCAAGGCTCCAACACATAAGAACCCAAACAATTCATCATTCTACATTCATAAATTTAACATTTCCATCCTGAATTTTCTAGAAAATCTAACAAAGCAACATTTTTTTTCAAAAGCCCAACAAGCAGAACCATAATATAATGATAATGACAATAAAAATTCGGACAAAAATTTATGAGAGAAAAAAAAGAAGTAAAGAAAACAAACCTTCATAGAGAGAAAGACCTGGTCTTGTCTCTGAAACTCGGCAAGAACAGCGAGGAGATCAGACTTGAGCAAGCGGGAGACATGGGAGCGTATGAAGTGGTCAAGGCGGAGAGGCTGAGAGCGGAGCCTCTTGAGCTCCTTAGCCACCATGAGACCTTCCTTCCCCATCTCTTTCTTGCGCCTCCATATGGAGAGACTAGGGCTTGACGCCAACGCCTTCGACCCCCCAGAGAAATAACGTTGCAAGCAAGTGTTTTGGAGCAACAAATGAACTGATAAATCGAGATAGGGGGGTGAGGGTGAGAGTGCAGGGGTTGTAGGTGAGCTTCTTCGTACAAGATTTTGAACCAAGCGTAACATTACATTCAGGTTGCACAGTTGATAGAGTGCATTACATTCTGAAGACTCTGGAGATGGCATCAGAATTTCCCGCTAGAAGAAAGCATTTAAGAAACAACATTTCTGCACTTGAGAAAGCCAAAAACCAACAGTCAGCACATCAACACTTTTTTCTTATAGGATTTCTTCCAAACAAAGTTTACAAATACTAACGTGATTTCACAAATCTTAGCTGAAACACATACAAACACTACAGCAACAAAGCCTGAGACCATATGATAAGTAATCTCTAACCAAACGATAAGGTGACTTCTTCTTCCGCAAAGACATGGAAATGCTGATTGAAACTAACCATCATACATAATTAATAAAAGAGGAGTGCAGCAAACCAAGCAAAGATGGGTAAAGAAAGAAATAGCACAACAATTTAACACAAATTTCACAATAAATAAAAGGAATATAATAAACTGGTTCAAATCCAATGCCTAAGCAGAAAAATGGTTACGCTGTTAAAATATATTAATAGCTGTTCATAATTAGACCAAGCAAAACTAGTTATTTCTCTTGAAAAAGTAAAAATCCACAAGCACACAGTTTTCAGAAAAATACTCTTTAACACCTATGATGTGGTTTATTTGAATTACGTCAGACGCTACACGGATATAGGATAAGGTTAAAGAAACTTATCAATGTACAAATCAGATAAATAAATAGGATATGAATATCTCTGGAAATTAAATGGTTTGTTTAAGAATTATATGCCTTGGGTGTTTCTTTTCGGAGTGTTATCTCCGTTTCTCTCTTTCATTCGGATGTGTATTTTTCTTTCTGTTATCCCCCTCATTAATCCTCTATTAAGTCTAAATCTTATGAAATTTGCAAAGAACTTAGTTCCTAGTACCACATCCATTGGTCTAACAAATAAACACTTGGGCAATGATCAAAGCAATTAATGGATTCAACAAATTGATATGCTGATAAGTCTAGTAAAGAATTCTTTTCCAAGTAAAGATAACATTATAAAGGCCAATTATCAAATTTCAGATTTACAATTTTTTTCCTTCTAAGATTAATGAATCATGTCGAAGTCAAATGAGAGTTATAATGAATAAATTGGAAATGCAATGCAACCAAAACTGTCATTGGGTGGAAACCGAACAGGAGAACAAGAGATGTATACCAACCTTTAGAAGATATGAAAAGTGGGCCACTCTTGAACACCTGCTGGATCATCTGATATGTTAGAAGGCATGAAAATATTTCCCACCCACGAAGCACAATGTGAAACTACTTTGCAAAATTAAGCACAAGGGATGAAAAGGAACACCGAAACATGATCAGGTTACATTGATAACTGACAGACTGCGATTTCGAGAATCTGAAAGTTAAGAACACATTCAAGTATAAAGAAATTGATTTCACTTTAAAAGATCCAAGTTTCCATCAATTCCCTCAAAACTTGGGCACGTTTGTGTTTGTTCGGATGAAATGAAACTGCACTGCAGTTTCATTCCAAACTTGTACATCCTGTTTTGTACACTATTGGTATCATCTTAATGAAATTCTTGTTCGGTTGTTCCATAACAGAAAAGAAACATTCTAAATCCAAATCAACATCACTCGAAAATAAAATAGGCGATTAAACTCGGGCTAAGCACAACTTCGTTAATTTCGACAAGTGCATTGCCACACCAACAAGTATGGGAACCATTGCGTCGAATTTACTTTGCCTTTTAATTTCCTTTCTTGTACACTTTGCTCCAGCAATCAGAACAGAACATGGAAACAAAATCAATCTAATGCAATCGAATTTCACAACATTTGCGACGAACATTCCACCACCCGTGATTTAACGAAAACCAAAATCTAAAAAATAAAAAAATTGAAAAATCGCGTTTCACAACATCAGTTTGGCGGCTTCCCACGAAAGGCAGCTAAAACGAATTTAAACAAATATTCAAAAATAAAATAAATAAATCGACTCTACTAATTTAAGCAAGAAAAGGAGAGGGGAGGAAGAAAGAGTACCGTGTTAGAAGCAGCAGGTCGAAGGGGGCGCTCAAAAGCAGCTAAAGCGGACATTTTGGGCGATTGACATCGAAATCGCGGAGAGCAGTAGCCAGCATTTCAATCGTCCGAGCCGACCATTGAGCGAACTCGGGCGAGACGGCGTAGATCGGCGAGCGAGCTGAGCTGAGGTATCAACGCGATCTGAAACCAAAAGCCCTTTCTCTCTCTCTAGTGTTGGCAACTCTGCACAGACAGAGAGAGAGGCTTTTTCTAGGGTTTAAGAATTAGAGAGAGAGAGATAGAGATGGTTGGAGTTTAGAAAGAAGGAGGAGCAACTACCATAGTTACTGCGCTGTCCGTGTGCCCCGGCTAAGACGTAAAAACAGGGAGGAGAATGACAAGGGAAGCAACCAAAAAGGCGCACTTCTGAATCTCTAATTTTATTTTTTTTTTTAACTAACGTATTATCCACAGGATGGGGACTTAAATAATAATACGGTTTAAATTCGTTTTTGACGATAGTGTAATCTAAAATTTTCATTTATCAGTAAAGAATAATAGCAATAAACCGTAATATTAAATAGTTTTGAATCTTTATTTTTTCTTTTAAATTTCTTGTTTTTTTTGGTTGGGTTAGATTTAATTAGTAATTAAATAATAATAAATGAATTAGGTAGAAAGTAGCAGTGGCCGCGGTAGTATTTTTGTTGGGGAGGGAGGACTGTGCTTTTTCACCTACTTGCTTGAAGCTGAAGTTGGACGAGGAGGAGGAGGGAGAGGGAGTGGTCGTCTGCAGTCGAGGTTAAGTCTCAGTGGAGAAATCGGACCAATGGGAGGGAAGGGAAGGAGGGTACAAAACAAACCAAGCTGGCAGCGGAGACGGAGGGAATCTAGACAGAGAAATTCTCTCTCATCCTAATTATCTATTCTAAAATTGAGAAGCAATTGATTGTTCATTCCGCTATAGTCAATTGTTTGTCTCTTGATTTCATCTTATTTACAATAAAACCATGAGATTTAGGCTGGGTTTGAAGGGTATTTATTTGAACTCAGAAGGGTAATTTTGTCTGGAGGATTTAGAACAAATTGCTCCTTCATTTCACCTTATTTGCAAGAAACCCATTATATGTGGACTAGGTTGGAAGGGCAATTTTGTCCTCTCGGTTTTGAGTAAATTTAGGGGTTGGCGTGTAGAGTTTCATTTGCTGTCCTTCACTGAGGGTTTCGGGGGATGGAAACTCTGACAGAGAGCGGAAGAAATAGAGAGAGAGATGCCGATGGGAAGAGAGCGCAGGGGAGAGGTATGGGTGATGGACTTCAAAAGTGGGAAAGTGGGTTTTGTCTTCTCGGTTTTGACTGAATTCGAGGGTTGGTGTGTACGTTTCGTTTGCTGTCCTTCAATGAGGGTTTCGGGGGGATGGAGACTCTGATAGAGAGCGGAAGAAAGAGAGAGAGAGAGAGAGAGAGAGAGATGACGATGGCAAGAGAGCGAAGGGGAGAGGTATGAGTGATGGATTTTGGAAGTGGGAGAGTGGGGATGGTCAGAGAAAACCATACGGGTCGTCCGGATCTACCGCTGCATGCCTGGATTTCAAAAGATAAGTGCTTTTTAAAATTTTTTTTTTTTTACTATCAGCTTAGATTGTCATCGTTTCTGCCTTTTTGTTGTGAATTATTTTCGATTTTTTTAGTGTGTTAGGTCAGATTTTGGGGGAATCATCAGAGATATTAATTTCCCTTATTTGTTTTCTTTTCTCTCATTTTACACATTCATCTCTCTTTCTGCCTGTTTGTTCTCTGTCTTAAGGTCGGTTGTTTTTTTTTTTTTTTTTTGGGGTTTTTTGTGTGGCTTTTTTTTTTCTTTTTTTTTTTTTCCAGGTTATAGATCTAATGCTCTTTTGTATACCAATCTTGGTTTTGTTTTTCTTGGAAAATTGTTTTTATCTAATTGTGGATTCGTGGGTTTTAATTTCTATGGTTTGTTTCAGGTTGCAAAGCAGGAGGTTCTCACATGAGGATTCAGTTTAAGGTACTGTTATTATTATTTTTAGTTCTTAGAATTTAATGTTTCGAACTGATATGATGATTTGGTTGTGAAATGTGGGATTTCTATTCGGCTTCTGTTGCGTATGTGATGTTGTCTGTTTTTATTACTGAGTAGAGATTCCATGTATTTTAGGTCTCTAGAAAACACCTCTTTAGTTCTACGGGAGGAACTAAATAACACATTGGTGGACTTGCGGATGTTTTTGGAAATACAAGAATTTTTTTTTAGGACTTAAGTTATATTGGTTGTAAAATGATCTTGGAATATGATTGTCTTATTATATAAACTGCATATAGTTTGGATATGGTGAGAAAACTAATTAAACTGAATCTTGGTGATGATTTTGTTCTTCGGAAGTTGTTATGAAGCGATTCAATTTAGTTGCTATTTGTGTTTATGCTTCCAAGCTCAGTTTTTTGAGAGGTTTTTGGTCACGGAATTATTTTTGTGTTTATGGTTCATGTATGATTAAAGTTTTTCTATAGTTTTATATTGGGTTACGAATGTTTTTGGAAGTACAAGAATTTGTGCTTTTGTGGATGTGAAGAATTTGTGCATGCTGAGCTTGATAATGAGTCGCCGATAGATAACAGCCCTGAAATTTATCGGAGTTTAGAGTGTGTACATTAAACTCTTTAACTCAAACCCATAGAGATCTCTGAACTCCGCACCAAAATCCAGTGACCATGATATGGACACTTGGACACCTACGTGTATGTAATTTATTGTAAATATGTTAGTCATTGTAAATGTGATTATAAATAGATTTTCACATGTATGTAAATATGTTGGTCATTATAGCTTCTGGTATCTTTTTGCTGAAATTGTTTTGGTCACTCCTACAAAGCCTTGATTTCTGCTATTAATTGCTGCTGAAATGTGACTTTTCCTATTAGTTTTTTACCCTTCATATTTATGCTGCTTTTGGATTCCATTCGAATTAAATAATGTAGTTAAACTTGATGTGAATTCTTCCTGCAACAATATCCTCAAATTTTGCTATATCCTCAAATTTTTTATGGTGTTTGTTGTGTATTTTGATGCATTTTCTAATTTTTCCAATGTTTTATAAACATACGAACAAAAATAAAAGAACAAAAACCAAGCCCATGGATAATCTTTATTTCTCGATTCTTCTAGGCGGAGGACAATAGTGCATAAACTCTTTTTCTAATTATGCTATATATGGAGTCTATTATTAATCGAATTTTTTCTCATGTGCATAATAGTTCACATGCATGGTAATAAAAACAAATGTCATTGCATAAATATTTTTGCCTTTGCATGCCTTGCCTTGCTTCAACTTTGGCTTTGACCATCATCAAACATAAAAAAACTGGCCTGATTCCTGATTCCTAATTTGACATGCATGACAACCATAGGGATGAATGAGAGAACGAAAGGGTCTCATCCTCCTTTAAGTGCTTGAATAAGTGCTATTGATAAGTAGTCTCTCTCAACGAACTACAAATAATTCAGAAAAAAAAATTTCGTAACTTACGTACTTAATAAAATGAGTATAAGTAGTCTTATAACAAACACAAATTGGTTATTCAAATAGATTTATAAATATTTGTATTCATGTATTCTTTACTTATAAAAAAATAATTGATGTATTTTCTTTGTTGTTTCAGATTTTTAAGATTTTAAACAATGTTGCTCAAGTCTACCAAATTTTTTTTTTTTAAAAACATTTATTGACACTATATTTAATTTTTGATTCAGAGAAAAAAAAATGGTGAAAGAGATCGATCGAAAAGAACAACAAATTCTAGGAAGGGTTTTGGTAAAAGATTTAAGAAGATTGGTAAAAGCTCGAAAAGAAGAACAACTTCGAGGGACAAAATTGTTTTATTCAGAGACTGCTCCAGAACCCAGCACATCAAGAGCACAAAAAATAGAAAAAACAAGAATGAGTTTACGTGTTTATGGAAAAGGTGTCAATCGAAACAAGTTGGTCGTCCACACTATGTATTCACCTACAAGTCGTAGTAATCCACCAAAAGAAAATGTTCAAAAGAACTGTTTTGGGTTGTACAATTGGATTTGCAAGTTTAAACGTCCGAAGAAGATTGGGATGCTCCTTCTTTGGTTCATCTCCACTGCAGTGGTTTTCTGGATTTTAAAAAATATGTAGGGATCAGCTGGATTTTCAATTCTGAAAAACGTTGTGTGAACCTTTTTTGTTGGCTGATAAGTATAACGATGTAAACAATGAAGTGGTTTTTTGCATTGTGAATATGTAAGGATGGTTGACGTATAAGTGTAATGATGTAAACAATGAACTCCCTTATCGGTTTAATAATTAAGTGTTATTACTACTCATTTACACACTTTTTTAGTTCTCATTAATTCATTTCTGCCTTTAACCAAAAAAAAAAAAAAAAGCATTTCTACCTTAATGCAATTTTTCCCTAATTTTGTGACTTGATATAATTGATGTTCATATTCCATTTACTATATAACAAAGATAATCACATTATTCAGAAATAATTCATGTTTTGCTTCAACTTTAATTTACCTTTATTTTTATATTGTTTATGTTTATTGGCTGGTTGATCTATTGTTTACCTAGAGTTGTTTTTCTCTTTGTTTATTTCATTGTGTCGTGTATGTCCTTACATTTGTAGTTTTTTATGGTTGTTTATCTTTCTATTATCCAGGTTTTTGCAATTAATTCCTCACACTTGCCAGAGATTCCTTTTGCAACTGCAAACTGGTTAGCTTTCTCGCTTTTTACATATGAATTGGTTTTCAAATTAAACTTTCATCTTATTTACTTTCTTTGTTTTCGTTTTAGAGAATTAAAAAATTGTTAATTTTGGTAGATGTGGAGAAATGTTTAAGGTCTTAACATAATTTATATGTGCTTTCTTCGATTTTGCTATTTTGTGCCTAAAACCTTGACAATCTTTGACAAGATCGCTAAAATTAAGCGCTCTTTATATCTGGTGTTAGTCAAATTTAAGTAGGATTTTACTTATGTGATTATATTTTGGGTGTATTTGTGTTTTTAATGCACCTTTTTTTACGTGTGGCGATTTAATTAGTGAGTAAGGTGTAGTCATTCGTATGTTTTTTTTTTTTTATTTGCGTAGTGTTATGCCTAGGACACTCAGAATACCTAGGAAGGCTGCTGAAATTCAGCATGCCAATTTGCGCATCTTTAATGGTGATGTTTATCCAGATGATGTGGTTTTGCAAGATGTCCCAACTTCTTACGATCAAGAATATAACAATGTTTCAAACTCTATACTATTACATGACAATACGACCAATCCTGTTCAACCATATACATCTATTTTGAAACAAAATGCATCTATTGCCGATGAATTCAACTCATCTTCATCTGTTGCTAGCACTTACATGAAATCACTGTCCTTGTTTTTCTTGCGAATGATGTGATAGGAGCATATTTACGCACCTTAGTTTAGCTTGTTCTTGTGCATTATAGTGTTTTTCCTTAGTAAAGTAGTCTTTTAAGCTAGTTCTATGTGTTTTCAGGTTTTAAGGGCAAAGTATGCAAAAGGATGCATTTTGGAGCCTTTTGGAGCAAATTAGAGCTTGGAATGGACATCATATGCTTCGAGTCAAGAGGATGGACGAAATTGAAGATTTGAAGATGATGTTTCCTACTTGAACAAGGTTTCCTAGTCGAAGTAGGAAAGCGCCTAATTAAAAGATGAAATCCTAGTCAACAAAGGATTCTTAATTGAAGAAGGATTCCTAATCAACGAGGGATTCCTAGTTGAAGATGGATTCCTAGAAGAATGAAGATTCCTACTCAAGTAAGGTTTCCTACTTGATGAAGGAAAGTCAAAATCCAAATGGTCTCAAGTGAAGCAACAAAGAAGTTTTCCAAGTCCAAGAAGGAAAAGGAGTCCAAGATGAAGAAGGAATGACGAAGACAAGGTTTCCTAATCCTAATAGGCAAAGTTTCCAAGTGCAATGAGGAGTCCTTATCCATTTAGGGCACTTTACCCATTTAGGATACCTTATCCTTGTTCTAAAAACCTTATCCATCCTTGCCGTGAGTTTCCCTTGCCTTGCAAGGCATTCTAGAAGCCTTATCACCTCATATCCTTTACCTGCCGCACCTAGGAAGCATTATCTCTTTTTATTTCTGATTTCTAAGCCTATTTCCTTGTGGATTTGAGTTATTCAAGTCCATATCTGATTACCCTAGGGTTTTAAGTGCATATATATACTCATATTAACCCCTAGATCAGATCACTATCTCACATGCTTTCACATTCATTTATTCACCCCTTTGTCGTGGCTTTCCAGCATTCCACACCATCATTGCAGCCACATTCTTCCATTCCCCTTTCATCATTCAGCAACTTTTCCCATTCATCAACCCATGCATCCCCTCACCAAGATATCATTCACCCTAGCTTTAATTCACATGCAAACACATTCATTTCCAGCACCAAACACCCCTTTTACCGTGCATTTCATACCCTTTCCAGCATTCCATTTCATTATTGCAGCCACCATTCACTCTTTAATCCACATGCATTCATCATCATTCACCATAGCTGTTTTTCACATGCATTCCCTTCATTAATTCAGCCAACTCATGCACCCATCACCTAACACAAATTCATTGCCGTGCACCCCCCTTGCAATTCCAGCTTTCCACCAACCAACCTAGCTGTCATTCCACATGCATTCCCTCTTTAATCATTGAGCCACATTCTCTCACATTCTCTCCCATTCTCTCCCTATAAAACCATGCAATCCCATCACACATCAAGACGATTCCACACCTCCATTCACCACAGAAATTCTCCATTACCACAACACAATCACACACTCCAACCCGTGGCTTTCACATTCATTTCCACCAGAAAACAAAGCAAAACCCGTGCATAATCCAAACACCATCACTTCTATTTCCAACACTCCCCATCCCCCCAACACACTTCACACCATTCCCCACTCCATTCCACATACAAATACCCTCCAAAACACTATCCTTAGACCTTGTGCTACAACAAAGAGGAGGAGGAGAGTGCTTAAACGTTCATATAATTCGAGTTTGAGTTGTTGAAATTTTTAGGTGTTTCTTTTCCTCGATTTCATTGGTTAAGTTTACTTATCTTTGTTTTGTACGTATAAGGAACTAAACCCCCCATTAGCTAGGGGGTGATTCGAAACCATGTTTATGCTTGCAATATGAATTGATTACCTTTGGTTGGAATTTCATGAGTTGTGGATTCAATTTGTTTAACTGTTCGATTGATAACTTATTTATGTATGTTTATTGAGAGTGCACGCTTAATTTTCATGCATGAATATGACGTTAGAATATAAGTGAGTTTCACCTAATAGTTATGAACTTATATTCACAAGTAGTGGAGGTTGCTTATAAACAATCGCGTTAAATGAATTTTTGGCACTAGTTTCATGCTCATCATAGTAACGAATGCCTTGTCAACACTTATAGTTTTCATAATGCTTAATGATTCTTGCTTGTATCTCTATTATGCAATTCATGTAGGGAACTTGTGGGGAATGCTTTGGGTTGTCGCATGCAATCATCCAATTCATTAACTTAAGGAAAACTTGACAGTTAATTTAAGCGGACCTAATTAACCCGGGGTGTTGAGTTTCATAATTCATCGAAAGACCAACCGAAAATCATCTTGTATGCAAGTGTAACATGTGTGGAGAAGAACCTTCTAGCTAGCATTCATCCATATTTTCATCACATTCATATTTACATTTTGCCCTTAATTACAATCTGTGCATTTTAGTTTAATTTCGTCAAAACCTCAATCTCCCCCATATTTTGTTTAGTCTTAATCTATCTTATTTTGTGTTTTTAAGTATTTGGAGTCTTGTGGACTTATTTTGAGTTTTCGTTAAGTGAATTAAGTGTTTAAAGATTAGTTTTATTTATTTGAGTCAAGTGTTTAGCACCCCTAGTTAATCCCCGGTTAGAACGATCCCTACTTACATCATTACTACAATTGTCACAAATAGGGTTTAATTTATGTGTCACATTCGTAACGCATCAAATTTTGGCGCCGTTGCCGGGGATTAGCAAAGTTGCTAATCCCTTGGATTGTTATTTTCTGTTTAGTTTTATTTTGTTAAAGTTTTTTTTTATTTGTGTTTTGTTTTGTTTTGTTGATTTTAGGTACTAGAGAAGCAAGACATGGCACTTGCCAATATTCAAGCTCAAATAACAAATCTTACTTCTCTTTTGTCACAAATGCAAAGAGTTGGTACATTTGATCATAATCAATCAAGGAACGACGTGTTTTCCAATACTTACAATTCGGATTGGAGTGATCATTCAAACTCTATGTGGTGGGAACCTCAACATGTTCAACAAGAAGGTTATTGGCAGCCATATGAGGAGTTCTATTCAACGTCTATGCAGCCACCACAACCTCATATACAATATGCCCAACCAAACTCAGGTTTGTCAATAGATTATGATAAAGTTCTTAATGAATTAATTTCTTTGGTGCAGGGCTCACAAAACCAAGTCGAGGAGGCTCAACAAGGAGAATATTGGCAACCATATGAGGAGTTCTATACAACACCTATGCAGCCACCACAACCTGCCTAAAGCAATGTAGGTAATTCAAGTGATAATGATAAGATTTTTCAATTACTTACTACTTTGACGCAGGAAGTCCAAACTCAAAACAAAGAGAGGCAAATCCAAGACAAGAGGGTGGACAACTTGGAGAAGCAAGTGGGACAAATTGCCGAGTTCATGGGGCAATTTCGTGAGCAAGGAAGGTTGCCTAGCTCAACGGTGGTCAATCCAAAGGGTGGCTTTGAAACCGCCAATGCAATCACCTTAAGAAGTGGCAAGGAAGTTGGAACCACCTCAGAACCACCAAAATCAAGCCAAGACGAGGAGGAAAAGCTGTTGCAAGAGGAAGAGAGGAAGGGCAAAGCCACGGCAAGGGTGGAGCAACCCTTGCCGCAACCACTTCAAGCTCCTAGGCCGTCCAACAAATGTAAGGTTGTTCCAAATTTAATTATTTCTAACCCCGTTCCACCATATGTCCCTATTCCTTGCAGGATCATGCAATCCAAGGAAGAAAAGGGTAAGAAAGGCATCTTCGAATCTTTTCCAAAGAATCAAGAGCAAGATGTTACTGGGGAATGTCTAGAATTCATCAAAGATGATATACTTGAGACAACAATTCGCAAAGAAATTGGATCTTATGACACAGGACAAGTCATAACTCTCAAAACACCAAATCTAGCTGAATTTTCTAGTCCTACAACTTTCGAAGGGGTGTTTATTCTTGAGTTTATGTCGGAGCACACAGGTAAGCCACTTCCCCGAATTT